GGCTGAGGTGGTCCTCAGTGCAAGCCTCACTTCAGCAGCGCTCAGTACTTCTTCCGGTAGCGTTGTTTGTCGGGAGATCTTTCCCCGGCTTGTCTCTGCTTCTTCCTCTGGGCTCTGTAGGCGTCCTTGCTTTCACGCCTGTATCTCCCCCAAAGGTCTGCGTCATTTTCATGCTCCGCCAGGCGGGTAAGTCGCCCCGATTCGAGAAGCTGCTGGAGTCGGCTTCGCTGTCTTGGAGTCAGGGCAGAGGGGGTTCCATCAGGCTCAGGGGGTCGAAGGGGTCCTCCCCTGTCTGCATCGTCGCGTTCACTTCCCTCCTCCTCGTCGGGTTGGACTCCCCCGTCATTCTGTATGCCCTGGTTCTCGTCCCCGTCCTTGTCCATGTCCTCGTTGTAGTTGTACAGCTGGTCCAAGTGCTTCGCATCCTCGTCGTAGCTGTGCTCCATCATTACCGGAGCAGTTTCGGGGGGCCACATAGGTTTCGTCTTCGAAGATGTCCTCTGAGGGGTGGAGTCCCCGCTGCGGCACGGTGACGTTGTCGTGGCCGGCAGAGTCCGCCGGGTGTGCTATCGTGACGTTGGGCTCGGTCTTGGCTCTCTCTCTCTCTCTCTCTCTCTCTCTCTCTCTCTATGTACATGCAGAGTTTCACAATTACGGCCTATAACAGCTCATATGTGCAGCCTCTGCCTAAATGTGCTCGAACATGAGCATGCCAAGGATGCCTGCAGCCAGCAGCTTGCTCTGCCGTGTCCGCCTTTCCTGGGATGGGTGCGGCCAAGGACGGATTCAAACGGTGTCAGGCATCAGAGTCGTGTCAGTGACGAATGTTGAGAAGCTGCGCTTGGCTTTCAGGGCGCGCTTTGCTGCCTTTTTGGCCTCATCACGAACTTTTACATCTTATACAGCTGGCCACCACACAAACTCGTTCGCCGGCCACTCTCCCCAACTTGCTTACGAATCATAGGAAGCATCGTAGTCTTGCTGAAGTTGCTCACGGATCGACGCAGCGCAAACATCTAAGACTGACCATCATTTGGCATCGACCCTCGCCTTTTTTCTTGCTTTCTTCTCGTCCTTCTTCGCCTGACGAGGGGCACGGGCTGCTTCGCACGAAGTCGCGAGCAGCATTGCAATTGTCGTAGCTGCTGCCACTCTGATTGCTGCTGTGGTGGTCTAATCTATGAACATCATGAAAGTCGAGCCACCATTGATATCTTCAATCTGCATCCATACCTTGTAACTAATGCGTTCAAAAAGTACTGCGGGTTGCTATGTGAGCAACACCAGCTGTAACTGTAGACAGGAACCTTTTGAGAGACTGCCGCCAAAGAGAAATTAGCCAAACAACTTCCTTGTTGCCTCCTCCAGTGCCCGCGTCTTGTGGCGCTGGATCCGGCGACGCAGGCCAAGGGCTGCATCGTTCTCCGAGATGAATCGGCAACTGTGGCAGATATTCGTGTTGCATACGCTCGCACATTACAGGTACAGGGCGGCAAGAGTCAAATATTCAACTTGTGCGATATCTAAAGTTGGTGTTCAGGCGGCCAACACTCTGCCAAGAAATGGAATAGGAGGAACTTCGAGAACAACATCTGCCTGACTCAAGTCCTGAATGCTAACACCAGGCAGTCTCACCTTGCGGCTTGCCTACCTTATCTGACGGCCTGCTGCGTCGCAAAAGCACATGGTCTGAGTCCAGCACTCAATGACACCATAGTCCGTGTTGTCACTTCCGGAGCTCACAGACATGATGTCTTCGGCACCCCTCACCTCTGGAGTCTTGGACAATGTCATTGCTGTCATCCGTCTCGCGACCATGCAGGGCATGCCGTGTATTGCATCACCCGTGTCAGTCTGTCTTCGCACCTCGCTGGATGTCTCTGGGCCGAGTTCTTGTTGAACAGGAACTCAGCTGGATGGCTTCCAACTAGTAACTAGCTCAAAATGGTGCGGATGTCTGATCCCAAGGATGCACTCTCCCTGCACTCTTCGGACTTTGTGGATGCGGAGTTCGCCAGGAACAGCTATGCAAAATGCATTTCCAGCCTCATATGTCGCTTGACTGCAGTAGGGTTGCAGTCGGACCTGTCGGCTTTTGGCGTCGTTCCTTCGGGAGAAGGCGTCCGCTTGCCTGCTCGTGCGTGCGAAACATCAGACGACCAACATAGACTTCGGGGCGGCACTGCAGTAAGTTTGCACTGCGCATCACCGGCAACGTCCGATGAGAACACCAACCCGAACGGCCCGAACGTTAGCTCTAGTTGCGGGAAGTCTTGAGTCTTAAGTTTCTTCTGAAGCGCCCTCAGGTGCAGCCGGTGAAGCGACTCCGCATGGTCTACTGACTCTGGCGAGCACAAAGAGCAGCCTTTGGGCGGAGTGGTCTCCTCCTTTTCCACATGTGCTTTTCTCCTCTTGCCTGGGGTCAAGTGAAGTGTCAGACGAAGCAATCCGCACAGGCTTCGAGCGGATCTGTTCTGCTGCCGGGGGACGCTTTGGGCGATCCTTTTTGGACGCCGAAGGCAGGGCCGGCTCGGAAAGGGCTGTGCCTAGAAAGCACGGGCAAGCTGCAGTGACTGGCAGACTGAACGTCACATGCCAAACCACGGGAGCAAATTGCAGCAACTCCATGCTACATCGCTGCTTCGTGCACATGCTAGCTTCACCACGGAGATGTGTCATACTGTCGTGTGTGGCAACATGTCAAATTGTGTAGAAGGCCAAATCCTTCGCTGCAAGCATTCTATCCGGGGTGCTCTGTACAGACTTTGTGGCCGACGACGCTGCGCCTGGCATCGCACAGCTTCTCAGTAATTATGGCACGGTCTGCATACACAAAAGGAGCAGTGTTTAGCTGACTACAGCCTATAGCCAGCAATGATGACAAGCTTACATCAAGCATCACAGGCAAACGCGGAACAGCGGGTCAAGACGGATGTCACGTCGAAGATGCTTGTCAAACATTGCTACAAGGTGCCAAGGCTGGGACAAAGTGATCCCTCGGGACATGCATGACATGCCTTTGGCTTTCCTCCTCCTCTTCTTCTTCTTGCTTTTGAGAGCTTGGTTTGTCGCATCCGCAGCCATTTCCTGAGTAGAGAAAATTATCCATGCGTCGACAACACGCACATGGTGACGTCATTGTCCTACGGTCATCTTTCCGGATCTCTCGAAATGTTGCGCAACAGCTGCCGAGCAGAAAAGATGCTCCTGCGGAAACAACCAGAACGAAGAGTCCTGACTCCACATCTGATCACCGGGCAATGCGCAAGTCCTGTATCCCGAGAACTTTCACTTCTCCACACTGGTTCACCTTGCCGAGAAGCCTCTTCCGACGCGCTCCTCGGAGCAGGCGCTTGAGTCGGCTGCTGCAGCCAGCGCCAGTCCCTGCATTGACAACGGCAAAAACCGCGAGATTTTTCAGCCGTTCCCGCGTGGATCAGCATGTCAAAGAACCAACACCTTGGAGTGAACCGCCACAAACCGAGTCAGTTTGCCTGGACAGGCTACAAGGTCCACGACATGTTGAGACGCATAGCCTTGCCATAATTGCAACAGAAGCAGACCGATACATGACTGCTGCTGCTAAACGATAAACCGAACCACCCGACCCGATTAGACCTGTAGTGTTCAGGTTGGCAAAGGGCCTGAGCTCCGGGTCATCCTGCTCCGAGTGCTCACTCTGGGCTCGCCATCTGGAGGGCTCCCTGGGGAATGCTCCGCGGATGAACAGAGCCGGAACGGAAATGGTGTGACTGGACGTCCTTGAGATCAACGTTTTTGTAATCATGAGCGTTATCAACAGTCTTGTCTGGACGTGGTCTCTTCGCGAAATTACCGGAACAATGTGGTGGTGGTCGTAGTAGTGGTAGTGGTAGTGGTAGTAGTTGTAGTAGTGGTGGTAGTAGTAGTAGTAGTAGTCGTAGTAGTAGTAGTAGTAGTAGTAGTAGTAGTAGTAGCGGCAGCAGCAGCAGCAGCAGCAGCAGCATTTTTTTTGCAGTCGTGGTGGTGGTGGTAGCGGTAGTGGTGGTAGTAGTAGCAGTAGTAGTAGTAGTAGCAGCAGTAGTAGCAGTAGCAGTAGCAGTAGAAGTAGCAGTAGCAGTTTAGAAGTAGCAGTAACAGTGGCACTAGTGGGAGTTGTCGTCGTCCCCGTGGTAGAGCAGGGACCGGAGTTGAGGCTGGAGGTCCCACGGTTTTTTGGAGGTCAGGAGCTCGCAAAGTGCGACTCCAAGTCGTGGGCCATGTCACCGAGCATTAGTCTCCGCTTTTCGTGGCGATTATTTATCATACACATGTCCCGCTACATCGCGAACTACTGCTTTCTTCGTGGGCCCAGCGTGAAACCTTCAGGGGCACATGGCTAACACCAACTTGAATAAAGCCAAACACCTGCAAATCTAGATCTATGGCACTCATTTTTGATAGCATAGTATAATTTGAAGGGTCTATCCGATGACAGATGCCAGCCGACCCTATTGCCCGAAATGCGATTGAGCTGGTGCTGGTGCATTTATGTCCTTCCGCGTCACCGCCTCTCAAACATAATCAACCTCCTGAGATGCCGCTTGCATCTAAGCAGCGAGGGCGACGAGTCAGATTCCTCACTCTCCTGCTCGCATCAGCTGCGAAACAACATGCTGTCCACGAGCCGAGCATGCGCGCGCAGTAAACTGCTAGACAACCCTCTTTAAACTCCTTCTCTTTGAAGTCTGACGGCTTGCTCTGTGGCTGCGTCTTTGGCCTGGCAGATGTCGGGCACGGACAGGCCAAACGCAAGCATGTCATCTCCAAACGTGGTAGACCCACAAGTTATCAGCATTTTCCTGCTCAAAGGCTCTCGTTTGTTCTGCACATGTTCCAAGACGTTGACAGGACGCTGCATTCTCGCGAGTGGGCTGACAAAGTCTGCTTTCAGTTTGGTACCAAACAGGCAGGCATGATCTTGTCAAAAGGATTGGATCATAAGAGCGGATCTCTCTTAGATCACGTTACTGTGCAGGAAAATGCCAGTTAGCAGCTAGCTACCCTGAACCCGCAATCATTCTTTTGTTTATTCGCAAGGGACCCGACTGCTGCCCTTACTGTAGTTATGCCTGAAGCCTAAGTCTTGGAGTTCCCGCAGCATCGCAATTTCGTTCCTATCTGTGTCACACACCAGGGTAGTTTCTGCCGTGTTCGGAATCGTTGTTTTCAGAATCACAACTGTATCCTGAATGGTCGAGTCGAACACCCTGTTTAACAGGGTGTTCGCACTGCTCGCACTGTATGTGGCCACCATCATGAAATCATGCAACATTCTCGTCCTATGCTTGGAGTTCTGCCAAGGTGCTTCCCAGAATCTGCAAAGCCATCTGACACGTCAACCTGAACACGAGTGCGCGTTTTCTACGAGCGAAGTACGATGCAGCCAAGATGTACCACAGGCGGTGCCTTCGCCCGGAAAACGTTGAATGGCCGCTCTTCGGCTCCGGTGTCCAGAAACGTACCGTCCTGGCAAGGAAGCTTTAACCGCACGCCAGCGAAATTACACCAAGTTTACGCTTCGCGTAAGTGTATACTGTATGCAATCTCGAAATGCCAGCACCAGGACCATGTGCTTGTGTGGAATCGTGATTGCACATAACGACTTGCAGTGGCTTGCTGATACGTTCTGCTCTGCAGCCTGCCCTTGCCAACTGTGCAGTGAGGCGGCTGCAAGCCTCTGAAACTCCGGTGGTGTGCACACTCTGGCCTGTGCAGCAGGCTTGCTCCAGGCTTTTGGGCGAGCACCGCGCTCTCTCCTCGGCACGCTTGGCCAGGCGCCGCTTTCACACCAACAAGAACGCCAACCAAGGACGCTGGGGCATCTTTGCCATGATCCGTAGATTCGGATTCAACCGCCTGCACAGCAACTGCTCCGGAGGGGGCATCGTGGATGCAAGCTACTCAGTCTGCACCTGCTTTTGTGGTGCGCTTCCTTCGGTCATCTTCTTGGCTCCCTTCAAGATCACTGAGGCTCTGCGCACCTGCCGCATCAAAGCCCTGAAAGACCCTCACATCTGAAGCCTTGTGCAATGACCGTGTCCAGTGCCGGAGCGAACTGAGCCTGACGAGGCTCTTCTGGACTCTTGGTCTCTTCGCTGCGTTTCTTCTTGGGCGTTCTCGTTTCCTGCACTCTGTGCGAACAGGGTTGACAGGTGGACACTCAGGCTTTGCGCTTTGCAGAGGACGTCCCTTCAAAGGAGCACAAGAGATCGCAGGAACGGTTCACACGAACTCCCCGCAGCCCATGACCTCCAGGGCTTCCTCCATGTCATCAGCTGCCCTCTTCTCCCTCCTGGATGCGCTGCTTCCTTCTTCTCGGTTGACACTCTTGGCCTTCTCCACGACTCCTCGCCTTCGGCTCTTTGCAGCCTCCTGCAGCCCCATCAAGTCCGCAACCCTGGCCTCCATGTTGTCCTCACCATTGCGGATTCAAAGCCACTGACATGGACACTGCAAGTGCGAGGAGCGACATGGTTTTCGCAACTGCTGATGGGCTTAGCCGAAGTCCTCCCATCAAAACTTTTCTGCAAAGCAACTACTCGGGCGTGGCTACTCGTACTTGGCGCACCACCCACGCTGTCCACTCGCACATGCCTGATAGAGTTCGAAATTTGGCCACTCTCTCTTTTGCTTGCTTTCTGGTGTGCATGGAGGTCTGCTAGCCACCCTCAGGCCCTTTGTCCCTCCCAACCACCCAGTTTTGTGGAGTGCTTGGCTTTTTAATTTCCGTGCATTCGGCACTACCTGCTTGGTTCATCCTGTGTTTCTGTGCTCTCCCTGCCTTGCTTGCTTGCTTGCTTGCTTGCTTGCTTGCTTGCTTGCTTGCTTGCTTGCTTGCTTGCCTGCTTGCGTGGGTTATGAGAGCCATCGCCCACCTCGGGGGCTCAGAGACCGCTGCATAATGACGGAAAAGCAATGGGGCGATAATGACACTAAGACCATGAACCAAGTCACACGGCAACTGGGCATCTGGGACTGCTTGTAGCTAGTCTCCAGAGGAAGCAGCTGGCAAACGATCTTTTTCTTTGTTTCTTTCGTTCGCTAGGATAGAGGACATCGGAGCAACCATGTGCAACCCCTGCCCTTGCGCTGGTTCGCCCGGTAGAACTCAGTCTCTTGCCTGCTTGTCCGGCGAACTGGGCCTCTTGGACGAAGTGGCTTTGATTGCCGCCTCATCTCCAGGCTTCATCTCGAACGTGCTCTCCTGAATCAGATCTTTCGACGAAATAGGTTTGCTCACTTAGCACTTTGAAGGACCGTCGCGGCCTCCAGGGCCTCCATTTCCACATCTTCGTTTGCCTGCATAGCTTTCTCCGGCACCTGCGTCTCTGCTTGCGGCAATGCGCATCAACTTTCTGAATTTGCCTTTTGTTGGGCTTTAAGATGTGAAAGGTCTAGGTCTAGAGCAGACAGTACGCAGTGAAGGCAAAGGCAGCCCAAGGCCACTTGAGCAGAAGCAGATCATGTGTCACGGTTCCGGCGGCTCGCCGAGATCCACGCGTACTTGTTTGGTCATGCAAGTTCAAGCAACACGATCGGTTCTGCCTCTTGCTGGCTTGCTGCGCCGAATTTAGGGGTTTCTTCATGCCTGGTCTGGCTGCCGCCAGGATGCAAGCATGCATTTGCTGTCTTTTGAATTTGTAACGTCTGCTTGTGTCTACAAATACAAGTAGGGTGTTTTCTGGCTTTCTCACCGCTCGCCCGGGAGGTGTGTCATGCTGTCGAGTCAGCCCAGAGAGGACGAACATCGTTCGCACTTCTCTTCCCAGCAAATTACGTCTGGCAACGCTCAGCCGTTGCAAGGCAGTAGCCGGAGCTGCCACTTTGGGGGGACAACTGCGGGCCTACAAGCTACAATCATGGGCTTTCCAGTCTCGCGCTGTCACCCTTCATGGTCCTGCGATGTCCTGTATCCATTACACACTTCGTGCACGACAGTTATATTAAATATGATTATGAGCAGAGGGCCCTATACATGTCCTCTACCCGCCCCTCTTCTTCTCCCCACGCATGCATGTCATTCACATGACATTGTCGATACGGCAAGCTCTGTGGTTTGTCCGTCCTTCGATTCAGGTCACCCTCGGGGCCTCTTCGGCTGCTGCCTTGAAGAGTACAGATCTGCGTGCCTGGTTGTGCCAGGAGCTGGAGAGGGGGTTGCCAAGAGTGTACAGGTGTAACGAGTACATCAGCAGTCCGCATCTTGGCCTCATCCAGCTTCTTCTGAAGAATAGCAGTTTTACTGACCTGTGTCCATCGAAGGGGCTTTTGGCTGCATGGCTGAGTCGCACGGCGAGGCTGTACAGATTGCTTACAGCAGCGACTGGACATTCAGGAAATTCTGCTACCCAACAAGGATCAGGGGAAGCGGCTGTGGTCGCTGAGCTTTCAGAACTGGTCGCTGCGGGCTGCGCTTCAGCCCTTGCAGGGCTGGTTGCCCTGCCGGCCTGGCCATGTAGGATCACATCTTTGCAGCATTGTGCGTGTTGCAGCTGCTCGATCTGCATAAAATGGAGACGTGTACGTTGCATCGCATGCCTGAGATACGGCAGAATGAGACTTCCGACTGCCTTCGCCTCCATCAACTTCTTCTGCAGAGTTGCGGACTTGCTGCTGACCTACGATGCTGGCAGAAGCTGAATTGATCAAACATGGCCATAAAGCACAAACACACTTCCTTACTTACTTACTTACTTACTTACTTACTTACTTACTTGTTTGCTTGCTTACTTATTTACTTGCTTACTTATTTACCTGCTTACTTGCTTACTGGCTTACTTGCTTACTTCCTTGCTTGCATACTTCCTTGCTTACTTACTTACTTACTTACGTA